TTAATTAATCCTGCGGGTTAATTAATGCTTTGCCTTTTAATTTTTGCATGTGCCCAAAGGACCCCGGGACCAAGGGCCAAGGCATGATCCTGGTAATGAGGGAAGGGGCTAATTAAGGGGGAGGGGATTAATTAGGGGAGGGCTAACGAGGTGGGAGGGGTTAATTGGGGGATTAATGAGGGGGAGGGGGTTAATTAGGGAGGGCTAACGAGGGGGAGGAGCTAAGGAGGGTGTCGAGGGGAGGGGGGTAAGGCTGGGGAAGGGGCAGTGGGGTCGTTAAGGGGTAAGTAACGGGGAGGGGTTAATTACAGGGGAGGTTAATGAGGGTTAATGAGCCTGGCGCTAACGAGCCCGGCGCTAACGAGCTTTCCCCTCCCCCGCAGGCGAGCAGGATAACTCGGACAACAACACCATCTTCGTGCAGGGGCTGGGGGAGAACGTCACCATCGAGTCGGTGGCCGACTACTTCAAGCAGATCGGCATCATTAAGGTCAGCCGTGTTCTTAGCGTGTCCTTAGCGTGTCCTTGGCGTGTGCTGGCGCCTCCTGAGCGCGTCCTCCGTTGCGTGGCATCCCCTGTCAAGCCGTGGCCGAGGGGATGGGGCCACTGGATGCCACGGGCTTGGCTAGGATGTGTCACGGGGTGGTTTTAGGGTGTTATTTGTATGTTATTTGTATGTTTACGTGTCTTTGGCATGTCCTTAGCATGTCGTTTGTGTGTTGGTACATGTTCTTAGTATATCTCCGTGTTCTTCCCCAAAATCAATCCAATGGGGCCACCCCACACCACCTTAGCATGGTCCTTAGCATGTTCTCGCTGCCTTCACGTGTCCTTAGCGTGTTCTTAGCGTGTCTTTGTCATGCTGTTTATATGGTTTTTAGCACATCTTTAGTATGTCCTCACGTTTCACCCCAAAACCACCCCACTCCCACCCGCTGCTCCTTAGTATGGCCTCCCCACCTCCTTGGTCTGTCCTTGGCATGTCCTTAGCATGTTCTTTACATGATCTTAGCATGTTACTTACATGTTCTTAGTATGTTCTTAGCGTATCCTTAGCATATCCTCACGTTTCACCCCAAAACCACCCCACTCCTCTCCCACCCGCTGCTCCTTAGCATGTCCTTGCCACCACCCTGCCTCCTTGGCGTGTTCTTAGCCTGTTATTTAGAGGTTCTTAGCATGTTATTTACATGTTCTTAGTGTAAGCATATCTTCAGCATAGCCTCATGTTTCACCCCAAAACCACTCCACTTCTTCCCATCTGCTGCTCATTAGCGTGTCCTTGCTGCTTTGGCACATCCTTAGCATGTTATTTGCATGTTCTTAGCATGTTATTTGCATGTTCTTAGCATGTTATCTGTATGTTCTTGACGTATCTTCACTATAGCCTCATGTTTCACCCCAGAACCACCCCACTCCCCCCCACCCCGCGGCTCCTTAGCGTGTCCCCGTGCCCTTGGCATGTCCTTAGCGTGTTCTTAGCATGTCGCCTCCCCCCACAGACCAACAAGAAGACGGGGCAGCCCATGATCAACCTGTACACGGACCGGGAGACGGGGAAGCTGAAGGGGGAGGCCACCGTCTCCTTCGACGACCCCCCCTCCGCCAAAGCCGCCATCGACTGGTTCGACGGTACGGCCCCACCAAAACCACCCCACTCCCACCCGCTGCTCCTTAGTATGGCCTCCCCACCTCCTTGGTCTGTCCTTGGCATGTCCTTAGCATGTTCTTTACATGATCTTAGCATGTTACTTACATGTTCTTAGTATGTTCTTAGCGTATCCTTAGCATATCCTCACGTTTCACCCCAAAACCACCCCACTCCTCCCCCACCCGCTGCTCCTTAGCATGTCCTTGCCACCACCCTGCCTCCTTGGCGTGTTCTTAGCCTGTTATTTAGAGGTTCTTAGCATGTTATTTACATGTTCTTAGTGTATCTTCACTATAGGCTCAGGTTTCACCCCAAAACCACTCGACTGCTCCCCATTCATTGCTCCTTAGTGTGTCCTCGCCACCTTGGTACATCCTTAGCATGTTATTTGTGTGTTCTTAGTATGTTATTTACATGTTCTTAGCATGTTATCTGCATGTTCTTAGCACGTTCTTGACATATCTTCACTATAGCCTCACGTTTCACCCCAGAACCACCCCACTCCCCCCCACCCCGCGGCTCCTTAGCGTGTCCCCGTGCCCTTGGCATGTCCTTAGCGTGTTCTTAGCATGTCGCCTCCCCCCACAGACCAACAAGAAGACGGGGCAGCCCATGATCAACCTGTACACGGACCGGGAGACGGGGAAGCTGAAGGGGGAGGCCACCGTCTCCTTCGACGACCCCCCCTCCGCCAAAGCCGCCATCGACTGGTTCGACGGTACGGCCCCAACCCCCAAAACCCCTTTAATTCACCCTAAAAAACCTTTTTTTAAATTTTGGGCTGAATTCTCCCTTTTTTAGGCAAGGAGTTCTCGGGGAACCCCATCAAGGTGTCCTTCGCCACCCGCCGCGCCGACTTCAACCGCGGGGGCGGGGGTGGCCGGGGGGGCCGCGGCCGGGGAGGTGAGTGAAAACCCACCCCCCCCTGTGAGGGTAGCCCCAAAATCCTCCTTTTTCACCCCAAAACTTTCCTCCTTCTCCTTCAGGCCCTATGGGACGCGGCGGCTTCGGCGGCGGCAACAGCGGCTCCGGGGGCGGCAACCGGGGGGGCTTCCCCAGCGGGGGGGGCGGCCAGCAGCGAGCCGGCGACTGGAAGTGCCCGAATCCGTGAGTTTTGTCCCCGAAAAGTTAAAAAAGCGATAAAAAGCGGTTGGGATGATGATGTCATCGGGTGTTTTTTCCCCGCAGAGCCTGTGAAAACATGAATTTTTCGTGGCGCAACGAGTGCAACCAGTGCAAAGCCCCCAAACCCGAGGGGCCCGGCGCCCCCCACATGGGCAAATACCCCGGGGGGGGCGGCGGCCGCGGCGGCAACCACATGGGTGAGTCTGGGGGCCAAATTTGGGCTGTGGGGGGGGTGTGACGTCATCATGACATCATCGTG